AAAGGCCAAAGAAGCAGCATTTGATTAGCAATATACCACTCTTTTAAAGCTAAAATAATTATATCTTTGTACTGCTTCTATGGTTATATCTTTTAATTTAAGTTTTCTTAAAAAAACTTATATAATGTTAACTAAAGACTTATTAGTTTGTCATATCAAGCAATGCTTCTAATAACAATAATTTTACCTTTATAGAAGATCTTTTGTATTTTAAAGATCATTTATAAATTCCAAAAGGATTGACACAACTTTGTATTCTTCAATCTCATCATGGTTTTTTTTTTTTTTTTTTTTTTTTTTTTTTTCTTTATATCTATAAGACATTTTGGATTTAAAAAAACATTAGAGCTCATCTCTTGAGTTTTTTGGTGGTTTCAAATGTGAAAGGCTATGAAAGACTTTGTCTTCTTGTGTGATATTTATTTTAGATTTAAGAATTCTTGACATTGTTCTTATAGACCTTTACATCCATTTCCAATTCCAAAGCAACCATGGTCTTTAATATCAATGGATTTCATTACTTATTTGCTGCTATTAGCTATATTTGATGCTATCTATGTTATTTTGGATCGACTTATAAAAATAATTTATTTTATCTTATATAAAAAGATAATTTTTAAAGAAGAAATGGCAAGGTTCTTTCTTGAAGATATATGTCAATATCATGGCCTACTCAATGACATAATTTTTGAAAAAGAACCTCAATTTATATAAAATTTTTGAAGATCTTTTTTTGAAATATTGAAGGTAGATATCAAAATTTCTTTTACCTTCCATCTTCAAATCAATCATCAAATAGAATGAATCAATCAAGTTTTGGAGCAATATTTGTAATGAACCATCAATTATCAACAAGATGATTGGATTTCTATATTTCTACAAAAAATTCATATAAATATGGAATAAAAAAGGATTCATCTTTAGAAATATTCTAAAAAATATTTCTATACTTCTATTTTCATTAAATAGACTCAATTCTATTTTATTTGATTCACTTATAAATTCTTTTTAATATATTTTATTTACAACTAATGACCATAAATTTGCTTCTTATTGTAACTAACATTGTTATATCTAATACTTTCTTCATATCTTCATGTTTTAAAACATCATCAAAGATGATTAAAAGTCTTTTTTTTTTAACCTTTTCAAAAAAATGATTCTCTCCTTTCATCAAAATTCATAGTTTTATTATTGTTGTCTAAAAATTATAAAGTTTTATTTCATTCTATTAAATAGTTATTTTTTAGATTCCATATGATTGTACCATATAAAAAAGTTGAATTTTTAAAAGATTTTTTCTTAGTATTATTATTTTATTTGATAAAAACATTGATTTATTAGATAATTTTTTATCAATATATTCTTTAAAAGCCTTTACCAATGTAGACTTGCCTATGCCAGCTATACCAATTATGGTTACCATGTGGTTTTTAAAAGTAACTTCTCCGATTCTACAAATATTAATTTAAAATTCAAATATTTTTTCTTTTGTTAAAAATACTTACTAATTTTTTTTATATATATAGATATATATAGATATAAATAATAAATTCTTTTATAATAAAATAATATATTTTTTTAATAATTTTATCATTTTGTATATATTACATATGTTTATAACAACATAAATTTTAAAAAATACATTGTATATAATTAATGTTGAAATTGCTTACATCTAAATCTTTACAAAGATCATAAATACTTAAATTTAAATCATAAATATTTGATGTATCATTAGATATATTTTTATATTTATTATTTATATATTTATATTTAGCTAAATTCTTACAAAACTTTATAATCTAATATTATAATTTTTTCTTAAGATTCTTTGTAAATAAAATATTAGAATTAGATACCATCATTTCATTCTTTAAAAGTTCATCTTTAAGAAAATATTTCTTGATTTTCATCAAGCTTTTTAAATTTTCTAAAAGTGAAGATCTTTTTGAAGGATTTTTTATATCCAAATATTCTTTGATAAACAATTGAAGTCTATGATTAAATTTGTATAAGCTATATAATTTCTTTTTTACATAAATAGAAGAGACTTTATAATCTCATTTATTTTTAATAGTTTTTAAAATATCACAACAAAGAATTCCAAAAATAAAAACATTTGTTTTGAATGGATTGATTTGGTTAGTAAGATATCTTACTTTAAGAGCCATATAATAAGTTGTTCCATATTAACTTTGATTTATTGGTCTTTTATCACCATTTACTTTAACTTTGGATATTCCAAAGTCTATCAATTCACATGTATGTAACCATTTTTTTATTTTTTCCATCTCAAAATTTATAATTACAATATTTTGAGGCTTTAAATCACAATTAGCCATCTTCATGTCATGAAGAAAAAATATTGCATTAGCAATTTGATTCATTACATCAACTTTATATAAAAAAATTCATCTTAAAAGATTGTTTGTTTTGTAATAATTTAAAATAGATCATATCACCTTTTTTCATATCAATTATAACTTCTCTATGGTGGTTTGAAGGGACTTTACAAGCACAATAAAATACCTTAATAATACTTTTTCAAGTATAATTTTTGCCTCAATATTTTTAAAAGATATAATCTTTGTAATACTTTCAAAGTACAACCATATTGTCACATATATAATCACTTCCATGCTTTCTAATACTTTTGAAAGTTTTTTCTATAATCTAGGTTAAAAAAATATGTAGGAAAAGATATAAACTCTTCTACTCCACATTCAAACTTTAGAATATAAGATTTTCATTCTAATATATAATTTATCAATTTAAAAACACTAGAATTGTTAGATACATTTTCAACAATATTATTTAACTTTTGAAATAATAATCTTTTATCATCTGCAATATCTTTTAAATCACATGGTTCAAATTTATTGCATCCATTAATCTCTATTTTTTGACATAGCTCTCTTTTGACAAAAACTCCATAAATCATGTTATAAAACCATTGTAATTCTAAGATTTTTTTTTTCTAAATGTCTCTTGATTAGATCTTTTCATCAATAGAACTTTTTTTCAATCTCTTGAACAATTTTTTATCACTCTCTTTGCTTTCACAACAATTTCAGATAAGTCCTCCAATACTGGATGCAATGTATGTACATGTGCTTCATCTACAACTTTAATTTCTTACAAGCATTTTTTTTTTTTTTAAATTTCAATAAATTCTTGCATTGATTCTTTTTGAGTTTTTCATCTCTCATGACTTCAATGTTATTAAGTTCTAATTCCATAGCCTTTATTATTATTAAAATCTCCATATCCTTCAAAATATTCATGTCTAGTATCCTACATAGACATCACACAATTTCTCATGAATTAACTTAGTTCTTATAAAATTCAAAATACTAACAATATATAATGTTTTTTTAACTGATCGATACTTCTCTAACTTGTAGCTGTTATCAAAGCTAAATGGTAGAATGTGAGATAAATACTTCAAGTATCAACAATTTTCTTTTATCAATCTTAAAACATTACATAACGAATAGTAGTTAATTATTTTTTTTATTAAAGAAACTAAGCAAAATCTTTCATACTTTATTTAATAAAAACTACAATTCACCAATCTACTAGCTATCACTTTCAAATAAAAATATTCATTATTTATCATAAATAAAAATAACCATGTTATTTTAATATAATTCAAAATTTAAATAAATATATTAGAAAGATAAATAAAATAAAATAAAAAATTTATTTAATACAAATAATATTATTAAATGTTTATAACTTTCTCCATACTCTAATATCTATGGTAAAAGTTTAAGAGACTTTGTTAATGTGAATTAAAATAAATCCCTACTAGTTGGAAGTCTATTTTAATATACAACAATTTCTTATCTTATAATTTAATAATATGAAAATACTACTTTAAGCTCTTATAAAAAGACTCCTTAAGTTCATCTAACTATCTCCCTTAACCACTAAAACAACCCACAAATAGCTATGCATGCAATATAAATTAATCCTGAGCTCTCAATTCTTCAACAATTTTTTTATATGTTTTTTTATTATTAATTTTCATCCATCAATTAATATTCATCTAAGTACAACTTATCATTTGCAAATTGAATTTTCATTTGTGAATGAGTTTTCATCTCATCTATCACATGTCTAAGGTTAATCACAGTTCAATTTTGATTAATCAAAAAAATTAATTACAATTGGTTGGGCTACAAGTAACTGTTTTGGAAGTTCCCATTGAATGCATGGATGTCAATGACAAGCCTGGAACAGTTGCGGTTGTCTTGATAAGGAAATTCCTACTGAGGAAATTTGAACTTGCTTGTTGTTCTTTGGTTCTTCGCCAGAACTTGAAGTCACTGCTTCCTTTCCACAATTCAATTTATTTCTAAGTTCCTCCTATCAAACCATTACCTCTTATCATAGTCGAGACCAACACCACCCACATGCACGGACTAAGGTTCAAAGTCTTCTTGAAGAGATCCTTCACTGCTCACAGTATTGCCAACAATAGAGTCCCACTATCCACATGCACAGACTAAGGTTGAAAGTCTCCTCAAAGAGATCCTTCACTGCTCACAGTATTGCCAGTAAAAGAGTACCACTAAAGAGGTTTTTAATACCGACTCAAACATGGAGAATCTTTGCACACTACTTTATGACTGATAGCTCTTCACGTCAAGTCCCAAACCAAACAATGTCCCCTATAAATGCTTCCATAACGGCTCCCAAACAGTGCGCCAGAAGTCTGCAATAACCTCCAAACATCCTTTCCTAAGAAATTCACTAGCTTATAAATGAGAACAATCTCCTAAAATGCAATTTTCAAACATATTCTAAAACCATAGCCACAATCTCTCTCTCCGACTCTTTCTCAGCAACCCATCCAAAACCATAGAAAATCTTTCGAGCTGTTCGATAACTCATAGACAGCCAAATTCAACCCAAATGCAAACACACACTCAGGAAGTAGTACCGCTCATAGTATTCTTGACGTGGAGCCAATAAAAATCCTCGAATAAAAAATGGGTGCGGCATCAGTGCGGCAACATGAAATGCAATTCCAGTGCAAGGGAAACAAAGCAACAAGCTCAAACATCAATTCGGCGAAGCTGGAACCAAATCCTAATACCGACAGACGATGTCGAAGTTCACGTAAGAGAGAGACGTAGTTCCCTTTGTTCTCAATTGAGGAAGAAAAGTTCTCAACTCGGAAATAACCATTCTCAGTTGTTAATTGTGGAAATAATGAGGCATTGTGGTTCTTAATTAGTGTATGGATAAAATAGTGTGGGTCAAAAACCTGTTTTCAGAAGGTTATTAATCTGGATCATACCATCCTGTTTTTGATATTAATACTTGAGGTCTTGAAGTTGTGACATTAGTATTGAAGTTGTCAATCGACCGCGCGGGACAATCCTCACAACGAACAAGCCCCCAGGAGACGGGTTCAGTACCAGGCAAGATGGCGTGACAGCTCGCTTGAACGCAACAATGCCCGCGCTGGGCTGGGAGGCCGCATTGCTGGAGCTGGCTTGGGTGGTTGCCAACCTCGCGGAAGCGACAGCGCTCAAGGGGATGTATGCGACTGCGGCCATGGTGGACAGTGTGATCTGCTGGGAGAAGTGCTTCGGCTTCACGGTGTACAACTAGAGCTTTGTGAGTGATATATAGAATTACACTAAGAGAGTGATAGAGAGGTTGCAAATCTGATAGTGTGCACAAGCAGAACGGGTTCTGATTGATATACGGGGGTGATCGACCGAGGCTGCACATATTATACATGCACGTGGATGAGAGAAGATTGAAGCAGGAGGCGAAAGGTGGATTGGGGAGGACGGTGACTGGTACGGGCGTGTGCTCGACAGGTGCTGAGCATGCGGCGTGGAGAACAGGAGAGGTCGGGAGGTTCGTCGACACCTGAAGGCCGAATCCATGAGGCTCCAGTGCATGGAGTTGGGTGAGGGCGGGGCTCAGCCCCCTCGTGCGATCTGGATCGGTGCTTTGCGGCAGCCCATCGCCGGTGCGCAACCCACCCACGTCGCCGACTATTACAGCACAATCTCAAATATGAACTTTACATATTTCAACTTGTAGTTTTTTGTACTAATCTAAATACAAGTTCAACTTAAATATACATAATCAAATAAGTTGAAAGGAAAAGAACAATTGGTTTGTTAATTTATTGTAGTATAAATGAACAAAATTTTGTACATGATCGAATAAAATATACATTGTACTTTGATTGAAATAAAACCAAAGACTCACTAAAGATATAGATTGGGATAATTTCAACAAAAAATTCTTCAAAAAAAATTCATTAGTAAGAAGTGGTGTATATATCTAAATAATTACAACATTTTAATTCTACTTAGTTGACATGTATGCTAATGAGATAAAATATAAATATGATCATTCTAATACAAGATATATATTAAAGATATATTGATATTGTAATTTATTTGAATAGTAATAAGAACTTGTAAAAAGCCTCTATTGTGGACTTGATTTCTAATAGAAGTTTTTAATATAGAATATAATTAAGAACAATGATGACAATATTATATCTTTTGTAGCAATATCTAATTTGATGCAAGAATATCTATAATAGATTTTAAATGACAATAGTACATGAAACCATTGCATGTGTATTGTTTTAATTTTTTTTATAATCCAACTTTAGAAAATTTTTTGTATTCTTAAGATTTATATAGACTAATATAAGAAAATCTAGGAGCTTGAGAAGTATTTTAATCTTCTTCTTAAAATTTCAGTTATACCAATGAATACATTAATTGATAGAGAATATTTATATCTTCTTTTTTCAACAATTAATTAATAACATAACTCATGAAATATTATAGGAATATAGTTTGAAATACACCAATAAGTAATTTATGAATTGTGTGATAAAAAATGTTGTTATTTTGATATCATTTTGTATATAATTGACCACTATAAAGATGGTATTGTCATTGAGAGTGGTGGTTGTCCATATTAAGCTAAAAAGAGTTGTATTTGTATTCAAAATTGATTTATAAAGATAAAAGGTAAATAATTAATAGAATATAGATACAACATATGAATAAAATAAATGATAATAGATAGTATGCTTCAATCATTAATGCTATAATATAGTATTATAATTATGAATTTATTTTTTTATAACAAATGTTAACATATTGATTATGAAACCAACATATTAATTGGCCACATCTTTTTTTAATCAAATAAGGTGGAAGCATGTTAGTCTTCATTTTTTCCAAATTAAAGCATTGTAATTAGTATTTATTTCAAAGAGCTTTACACTATAAAATGGTCCAATCTTTGCAATAAGTATACCTCTGCTATTGTTTATGCAACTCTTATTTATTTACAAAATATCTAGATACCATACAAAAAATGGTTGATTAAAGCTTAGAAAAATAATTTCCATATCTTAGAAGTGTTATTATATTATGAATAGAAATTCAATATTTAGCATTGAAATCATATTTAAAAGTATGTATTGAAGACATTTATTTATTTATTTATTTATTTTAATACAACAAAAAAATCAAGATACAAAAAAATTCAAAAAAAATCCATATAAATTATTGACATAATATCAATTTCTTTACTAATATTTTAAAACATGTCTCTTTGTATGCTGTAAACCTTATTTTTGAATAATTAAAATATATGAAAATATTATTTGATGATAAAAACTTCTCTTGCATAAGGACATTGACAAACACATCAAGCTTTTTATGTGAGCATTGGATTTGACATATATTAAGAAATATTAGCATTTTGACAATTGATGATTTTTATCATTAGTGCCATTTGATGAATAAATATAAATTATTAGTTGTAATATTGCTATAAAGTCAATTTACTACTTTTTAAGATATGCATCCTATCAATAATATTATTGGTAGTACATTTGATGTATTATCTCTCTACCAACAAAAAAAAGTATATAATCAATTATTAGAGCTTGTAATAATAATCATGAGGTTGAAAAATCTAAGAATCAATTATCCAAAGGATAGATTATATAGAGCAATGAATCAATTGAAAAGTGGTTCTTCATAATAACTACTTTTCAATTGATTCAAATCTCACGTATTTTTAATTTGAATCATAGAGGTATTATTCCTATGCATATGGAAGAAGTTTAGAGTCTATGCAAAGAAATTTTATAATTGAAGGAAGCAAGTAAATCAACCTCACAACCAAATTTAAGAAGTCTTGCTTTCACAAGCACAAACAAGGCAAAAATTGATATATATAAGAAGTTTAATAGAACCAGTTTAAAATTTCAAAGATTTTTGTAACAAGTTAAGTTCTATTTAAGGTTGCATCTTCTCTAATATTTCAATGGATTTACTCAAGTTGGATTCATAAATATATTTTTATCAAAAATTACTTTCTTTTAGTTTGAACCTTTAATAGAAAAAGATTTATAACTACTCTATGATTTGAATTCATTCTTGAAAGTATTTATGGATACCCTTAAAGAAAGTGATTAAAAAAAGATTGTAGAGACTAAGCTTATATTGCTATGACAAGGATCATGTTCAACCATCATATATATTGTCAAATTCCAAAATCTTACTTTTGACATAGATTGGAATAATAAAGCCCTAATCAATCAATTTTGATATGAGTTAAAAGATAATGTCAAAAATTTATTGTTAATAATGCCAAGTATAGATCCATTAAAGCAATTTTTTGCTCAAATCATTGCATGCAATAATCAATTCTTTGAAAGATGCCAAGAATAAAGATTTGGTTGAAAAAGTATAAGTCAAGCCATAACAACACCTTCTAAATTTTTTGGAGCTTATTTGTTTAAGCCAAAGCTTATGCAAATTAATAGAATATGTTTTAAATCTCTTATTGAATGAGAAAAGACTTGTCATTGTCAAAAAGGTTTGTACCTAAATTATGGAGAATCAAAACACATTGTTCAATATTATCCAAAGAAACAATGTAATTACAAAATAAAAAGCATGGTTGCGAAAGAAGATGATGTATTAAAAAAATATATTTTTCTAGTTATAATAGAGATTGTGTAATTGAAATCTTGTGTGACACCTAATAAAGGTAATATTCTTTCTTTAGTTTATTCACCTTATTTTATAATAGAAGTTAATTTAGGACCAAAAAATCACAAAAATCTAAACCTTATTAGAGTTAGGAGCTTCAACCTATTTTATAGATAAAGATTTTTTTAAAAAACAAGAAATATCATTAGTCAAGAAAAAAAAATCTATACATATAGAAGTCATAGATGATCACTTGTTATATTTTAGAGATATTACTTGTGAGACTGTTTATTTAGATGTAGCAATTAAAGTTCACAATATTATAGTAATATTCAATGTGGTAAGATCTCCCTCTAATTCGATTATTTTAGGATTATTGTAGTTAGAAAAATATAACCCTCAAATAGATTGGATTTTTTATAATCTTAATTTTTCTTGTAATTTGATCCAAAATTTTATTAGTCAAGTAAAAATATATAAGTCTAATACATTCAAATCTTTACTATTAAGTGCAAAAGCTTTCATGTATATCTCAAAAAAAGGGTCATCTTTTACTATATATGCTACGTCCATTTCTAATGATGGAAACATGTCAAATGGTATTCTTAGCTAATATGAAGATTTTGAGGACATTTTTGAAAAGTTGAATGTAAATATTTTTTTTAGTGCATTGATCTTATGATTTTTTAATTGATTTACAAGAAAGAGCTCAACCACTATTTGAACCAATATACAACTTATTGTAAAATGAATTAGTTACACTTAAAGAATAAATTGATCAAAACTTTGAAAGAATTTCATACACCATTTAAAATCTTTATCAGAAGTTCCTATCTTATTTATAAAGAAAAAGGATGGATCTCTATAGATATGCATAGACTATTGAAGACTTAATAAGATCACCATAAAAAATAAGTATCTCCTATTTTTGATTTTAGGACTTTTTGATCAAGTCAATTAAGTAAAGATCTACACAAAAATAGATCTATAAAGAGCATGCAATCTTATCTGCATTAAAGAAAGAAGTGAATGAAAGATTACTTTTTAAATTAAATATGGATATTTTGAATATAATGTCATGCTTTTTGAATTCATGAATCTTCTTGTCGCTTTTCAACATCTCATAAATGATGTTTTTTGTTAATTTTTTGATAATTTTCTTATCTATTATTTAAACGAAATTCTAATCTAATCTAAGAAAATAGAAGAATATAAACTTCATATTTGTCATGTATTATAAAAACTTAAAGATAGAAGATTATATGCCAAGATGAAAAATTATATATTCTACATTACTTAAGTTAATTTTTTAGGATATATTATTTCCAATAAATGATAAATATTAGATCCAAAGAAAGTCGAGACTATTATAGATTGAAAGATTTCAAAGACAATAAAAAATGTATAATATTTTTTAGAATTTTTAAATTATTGCTTGATTATCATCAAGAGTTTTTTTAAATTATAGATCTTTTTATATATTTGATATGAAAAGATAGTTTAAATGCAACAAAGAAATTAAAGTATTTTTTGAAGCGTTAAAGACATCATTTATTTTTGCACTTATTTTGTATTATTTTGATTTTTTTTAAGGCATTCTTTATAGAAATAAATGCACCAAACTTTTCTATAGGTATTATTTTGTTACAAATGGGAGTAGATGGCAATCTCTACCTAATAGCTTTTTATTTTGAAATTTTCAACAAACAAAATTAACTATGAGATCTATAATAAAGAACTTCTTGTAATTATAAATTCATTTAAAAAATGGCATCATTATTTAGAAGGTGCTTTGAGTCCAATTATAATATATATAGATCTCAAGAACCTCAAGTATTTTATGTTGGCAAGTGTTTTGAATTGTTACTAAGTCCATTAGAGCATGTTTTTATTAAGATTTAATTTTAGGTTTACTTATCAACTTGAA